TGTCATTACATTTATCAGTATGATTAGTGGGCTTTGCAAAGGTGGAAGGGCCGTGAAAGCAGTGGAATTGTTTAAATTGACGGTGGAGAAGGGTGAAGAGCCTGGAAACATACCTTACAATATTCTTCTGCGTGGACTTTGCAAGGAAGGGTTACTTTCTGATGCTTTTAACATTCTGCAGCAGATGATAGAAAAGGGCAAGAAGCCTGACTTGATTACTTACAATACACTGGTGAGAGGACTTTGTGAAAATGGGAAGGTGGACGATGCCTTGACAATGTTTAATTCAATTTTAGCTGATGAGACATATGTTCAGCCAGACGTTACGACAATGAATGTACTGATTCAGGCGCTTTGTGAAGAAGGACATCTTAGTAATGCTGCCAAAATTCATGAGAAGATGGTTGCTAAGAAGACACTGGTTGACATGAGAACTTTTACTGTGCTTATTGGAGCTCACATAAAAGCAGACAATGTTGCTAAAGCTATGGAACTCTTGAAGCAGGCAAATGAATTGGGTTTTATTCCAGACTCATTGACCTATGGCACTATGGTTGATGGTTTTTGTGAGTTGAATGTACTAAATATCGCGAAAGGTTTGTTTCTTCGGATGAGAAATAGGGGATATTGCCCAACCGTGATTGATTACAACATCTTGATGGAAAGCTTATGCAATGAGGGTAGCTTGGAACAAGCTAGGAGGTTGTTTCAAGAGATGTTAGATGGCAATTGTGAGCCAGATCTTGTGTCATACAATATTATCATTGATGGAACGCTCAAAGCAAAAAACTTAAAATCTGCTAAAGAGTTACTTGTTCATATGCTTCATAGGGGTTTGAATCCAAATGCTTTCACATATTCCATATTAATAAATAGGTTTTCAAAACTAGGGCTGTTGGATGAGGCAAAGAATTTATATGAGAGGATGAATGCATCTGGCTTGACACCGGATAACTCTGTGTATAATTGTTTACTGAAAGGCTTTAGCTTGAATGGTCAAACTAGAGAAATTATTGATTTGCTTAACCAAATGGCTGCTAAGGGCATTGATCTAGACTCAAAACTCACTTCAACAATCTTGACGTGTCTTTGCAATATATCTGAAGATGTCAATGTGGCAGAGCTGTTGCCAAATTTCTCCGGAGAAAAATCAGAAGTATTTAGCATTCCATGCAGTGAATTGTTGAACAAGCTTCACAATAGTTTATCCAAGCTTCAGTTGGATTCTGCTCAGCAGGTACTATCTCAGAAAGCTCCTAGTGCGGTAGACGTAGCTATTCCCTTCACATTTTATAGTTATTAATTTTTTTTAAAGTTTTTAGAGGACATCGGTATGTGTTGTTATTCCATGAATAGCCTCATGTTTCCCCTTAATATTTTTTCATTCTTGAAACAGTAGAAAGTTATCCTTGGTTACGCGTTTCATGCGATCATGGGAATAGGCTATTTTTTTGTAACTCCTTTTCGTTTTTTGGGTGATGTAACTCTATTGTTTCTAAGTTCCAAACTTGGTGGATAATGGGTGCACACATCTACCTTTCGCCACAAGAACAAGTATCTGTTACTCATCAGGATTCAAACTCGTAATGTGCGCCTATCAGACATCTACATTGTATTACCTTCTTGTTGAACCAATGCTTTACGAGAAATAAATAGATCAAGTGATATATCATCTTCAGGCATTTGTCCCTCATGAGATGAACAGAAAATAACGTTTCACTTTTTTCTTGCTTTTTCACGAACCTAATAATCAACTGCCTGCTGAATCTCACTAGTCACTAAACCCTTTTATGCCTTGTCAAATACTCCTTTCAGTCACGGAAAGAAGCAATCTTTGAACCTAGTATATTGTTTCCCATCTAATGATTCTTCTTTTACTGAACTTTTCAGTGCCAATGATAAGCTTCAGGGATTGGGGTTCCTCCACAGGCAAAATTTATTTTGCCTGCAAAGGTGTGTGAGCGAGAGGCTTCATGATAACATCTTACATACGATATGTGACATACTCAAAGGTATTTATCCCTGGTTTTTCTTTCCGTGAGTTCAGATTTTTATAGGTTTGTGTTTGTAGCTTAGTGTAATGTTTGATTAAGTTATCGTGCTGGCTCGTGAGTTGCTTCTAGCTGAATTTGCATGTTGTCTTTGGATCAATCCTAGCTAAAAGTCAATATAATAAGAGCATTGAAGGACTGGAGTGATGTGAATGAGAAGTTAATTGATGCAGTTATGTGGCCTTGAAGAAGTGCACGACTTTATGTGTAGCAGCTATGCAGCTATTGTTTATCTCTGTTTTATGTTTTATGTGTGCCATAATAGCAATTTTTGTCTTGCTGAAGCAAGTAAATTCAGTAATATTAGCTTCTTTTGCAGTTTTGGATGCGAATCACATCTGCAATCAACAGCAACGGGAATGATGGTTCCCCGCTTTCTCACGCTTGATTTGCATTCATACCTCAAACTTGTTTCGGTTGCTAACTATGGAGCTGCTTATTTAGCTAAAGTAGCTCAATCAAAAGTTCTGAATAAACGTCTGTATTCTCTTATCAGCTGGGGAGCGGACCTCCCCTGGACCCTACGTGAAGGTGGGATGCTTCGTGCATCGGGCTGCCTTTTTTTATTCTCTTATCAGCTGCCTGCCCTAGTCACTTGCCAGTGTAGACCATTGTTTACAGGTGAGATCATATCATGTCAGTCAAGAAGCTGCAAATAAGTTATCAGGTGATAATTGTATTTGATTAGATCAACTTCAAGAGATGAATTTAACAGCTGGCGAGTCATATATTGAAAGCTACCTTTGTATTGTGTCAACTAAGTTGTGTTGAAAATCAACTTCAAGGAGATGAATCTTACAGGTAAAGATCTTCAGATTATTGATCCAAGTTGAAGTTATTTATCAACTTCCTTGAATAATATATCTGCATTAAGTGCACTTTGGGTGTATCGACCAAAGTTCGCATTGTTCATCACCTTCCTATAGCTTTGCATCTGCGATGAGGAAGTAAGTGCTTTACTTTTGAGTGTTCGTCTGGCTGGTCGCCATGGACATCTCTGGCAACAAGGAGGCTGCTCCTAACTTATGGTCTTTCCCATTTTTTTTTATCTTGTACGCTGGTCTGCTAATATATCCCAAAAGCAACGAATATTCAATTTTTTTTACTAATACAAAGAGAATTCCATTCTCCTTCATAATAGGAAGTTCAAAATTCAAATTGTAGGTTAGTCATCCTAATCCGTGTAGAAAACTTTTTTCTTTTCGACTCAAAATACTTGTGCTTGTAAGTAGCGTATAATAGATTGTTTTGACTAATTTTTTGTGGGGATGGAGCGTGTGCGCGCTCAATTTTTATGCAACTTTAACTGTCTATAAATATTTACTGTAATTATAATATTTGATAAAATATCAAAAATTAAATACTCATGGGGCTTACGCCCCCGTGCCTCGGGCCTTACGCTTCGCTGAAGCACATGTAAAATGTCTCGCCTTATGTACACATTTTTTAAAACACTGTTAATTAATAATTAAAAAAACAGATGAAATTAAAAGTTGTTGGGTCATAATTTATTTATAGTGAAATTAACGGCTTAGAGTTGCATTCAATGCTTGCTTACCTACAATCCTCATGAATTATGTAAATCCACTTGTGGTTACGTAGATAGATGATTATTAAATGCTTAATTTTACTAAAATCTAAAAAAAAAAAGAGTTAGTTTTCTTAAAGTAGCCAAACAAACATGCTCATTTTTGTAGCATGAAATATTTCAAATGAAAGCGTTGGGCTATAGAATATTATTTCAGTTTAGTATTTTGCGAATATCGAACTTTAATTTTTGCCAATATAATTTGGTGTTGATTAAATGTTAAAATTCAATATTTGAACTTCCAACGAAATACATATCTCTTGTTTTACCATATTTTCACACCTTAAATAATGCAAGGCGTATGTTGAACGAATATTGTTGTACCGAAAGTCAACCCAAAAGGAAAATAGATAGGTTTGCTTTGTTGTATTAAAGAAAAAATTATTTTTATAAGATCCAAATCAAATTTGGAATAAATGAAAGCCAACGACTTTATATCTCATTTAATGTTCAAAATATTCGATGGAGATTTTGTTCAAGGACCATATACAACCCAAGTGGTGTTCTCATAATTGTTCTGGGAGACTATTTTATCGCCTTAACATAATAAAAAAAATTATATTACATTAAATTTAAAAAATATTGCGACACTAGATAATTTGAAATAAACGAAGTGTCTTATAGTTACAAAAAGCTTTGACATTAATAGCAACTAAATTAATTAGTTGGGCTGATTCAGGAATTGATGGAATATTGTAGCGTTAATAAAAACCAATAAAGATTAGTGGAAGGATGAGTTCTCTCTTTCTTGTGTTGTAGAAAGAAGTACAAATCGCTATATTTCTAAAACACTCTTTTGGCTTTGATGTTGTTCGTAAATTCACAAATACCATTTTGATTGTCGCATACAATAAGATGATGATATACATTAAATCTAATCAATGATGAAATTGCTATATTAGTGAAAATTTAAAAGTTACTAAAAATGTACATATTAGCCCATCTAAGCAGTACGACATAATTAAATAGAGTTATAATATTACATTCAATTTTAACGGTTTAGATGACTTTAAAATACAATTCGTGGTTTAACTGTTAATAAACTTTACGATAAATATCTAATTAATTACAATTTAATTTTTACGAGGCACACAATTATACCAACAATAATATCATTCATACTCGACCTTTCAAGCATTTTTTTTTATTATATATACACCAACTTAATAATATCATTGTTTTGTGGCCAGATGGATAGACAATAGATTATGGTCTTGGTGTCTTAGAAAAATATGAGGAGAAAAAGGGTGTTTAATGTCGGTGGAAAATAGGAAGAAAAAAGAAAAGCACCAAAATAGTACATTAATTATAATTTTATACATAATAGTAGTTGTCCTAGTAACTGAGTAATATCAAATATGCACACACTGAAAAAGGGATCTGTACAAACACATCTTTTTATTTTTTTGCTCATCTCTCTATCTTCCTCACTATATATACACATTTTTCACTTTCTTGATCTCTTTTTCTCTCTCTATATCTCAAGAAAATTACTCTTAACTGGACCTTTTTTGACTCGATCAATATTCAAGAAAGCTGCTTTTTGGTTAGTTACTTTCCATTTTCTTGATGTTTATGGTTTTATCTCTTAACCTATCTGAAGATTGATGCTTATTTTTATGCGGGGTTGTTGTTTTGTGATGCTTTATGGTTTTTGTATTTGGGTTTTGTGCATTAGTTTGAAAAGATTGAATCTTGACTTGGGGTTGACTTGTATGATGAGTTTTTTCAGGGTGGTTTGAAATTGGTTTGTGCTAACTCAATTGAAAAAAAGTGGAGCTTTTGGGAGAAAGTTTGTAGCTTTGGGATTTGTATCAAGTTTTTGGATTGACTCAGATTTGAATCTATGCTAAAGGTACTTTTTTTGGTTGGGTTTATGCTCTTTTTTCTTGATTCCATTTTTGGTCTTTGCTTTACTTGTGATGGAGCTGAAATATTATGTCTATGATTCTTGTTTTATGGGTATTTTAACTTTTTGATGTGTAGTGAAGTAGCTGTATTTTTGGAATTACTGTCCACATCTTTGAGTTGTGGATTGCTAATTGCATAGACTATTGTGTACTTTGTAGTTTCTTTGAGTTGTGGAAAGCAGAATCAATGGACTGTTGTATAACTTTTGGTGTGTACACCGAGAATTTTGTGTTGCAAGTTTTCAAACTTATCTTTGTTGTTTCCAGTTTAATGACAAGGATCTAATTTTTAAGAACCAGGATATGATTTTGTATTGAAAAGCTTGCTTTTGGACCCAAATGCAGATCTTTTAAGCTGCAGAACATGTGGTGGTTGTGATACGGACACAAAGTTGCCGTTAGAGCTCTAAAGTAGGGGGGG